CACGGTCGAGACCCCCGCCGACCAGGTGACCGTCCCCCACCCTCAGCGCGTGGCCATTCTCGGCTCCGGCAATTGGTGCGCCACTCTCCCGGTCCCTCTTTTTTCCCCCCGCGCACCCCCTCGCCCAGGCCAGCCTCTGACACCGCACGCCTCCCAGGGGTTCGGCCATTTCGCGCATCATCGGCACCAACGCCAAGGCCTATCCGCACCTCTTCGTGGAGGAGGTCCGCATGTGGGTATTCGAGGAGACCCTGGCTGATGGATCGCTTCTGACCAAGACCATCAACGAGCGCCACGAGAACACGAAGTGCGTCCCCCTCTATCTCTCTCTCTCTCTCTCTCTCCCTCTTCCCTCGCCCCCCACACCCCCCCCCTCTAACAGCCATGATTACACCTTGTCCTCTCCCCCGCCGGGCCCCCCCCCCCCCCCCCTCCCCTCCCCTGACCACATTACCCGATGCGCACGCGCGCAGGTACCTCCCCGGCTACTCGATCCCGGAGAATGTAATCGCCGATCCGTGTCTCCGGTCGACGGTGGCCGACGCCGACCTCCTGGTCTTCGTCCTGCCGCACCAGTTCCTTCGCACCATCAGCCGGCAGATCACCGGCGTCCTGAAGCCCGGCGCGCGGGCCATCTCCCTGATCAAGGGCCTGGACACGCAGGGGAATGACATTCGCCTGATCACCGATGTCATCCGGGAGACCTGCCTTCCGGCCCCGGCCTCCCCCGGGGCCGAGGTGGTCCCCATGTCGGTGTCCGCCCTGTCTGGGGCAAATGTCGCGCACGAGGTGGCTGCCGGGCAGTTCTGCGAGACCACCATCGGCTACCACCATACCACCTCCCTGAGTGAGGCCCTCGTGTGGAAGGCCCTCTTCAACACCCCGGTCTTCCGGGTGTCCTGTGTGCCGGACCTGGCCGGTGTGGAGCTCTGTGGCGCCTTGAAGAATGTCGTGGCCCTGGCGGCCGGCTTCTCGGATGGCATGAACCAGGGCGGCAACACCAAGGCCGCCGTCATGCGCATTGGCCTGTTGGAAATCCGCGACTTTGCGGCCCGCTTCTACCGCGGCATTCGCCATGAGACCTTCTTCGAGAGCTGCGGCATGGCCGATCTCATCACCTCCTGTGTGGGTGGTCGCAACTGGAAGGTGGCCCGCGAGCATGCCGCCACTGGCCAGGTGCGTCATCTCCCGCCTCCCTCGCTCTCTCTCTCTCTGTCTTCCTGCCTGGGTCCCTCCCTGCCTGACCCCTCCATGATCTAACTTTGTTGCCGCCGATTTCACGCACACATGCGCATGCACGTGTGCTCATGCGCCCGGATCCCCACCCTGCCTGCCTCAATGTGCACGGACGCGGCGCGGGGCTTTCTGCTGGGGCATCTACGCATGGCCATGGCCGCACAGGACCTCGCCAGCCTCGAGCAGACCATGCTCAATGGCCAGAAGCTCCAGGGCATCCTGACCGCCGAGGAGGTGTACAACTTCCTCTCGGCCCGTGGCCTCCTGCACAGGTGCGTGCCTCCGCCGGTGCTTTCCTCCTCTGCCCTTGAGGGCGCGTCCTGCCATCGCCTGGTGCTCACCTCCCTCCTTCCCCCCTCTGTCCACTCGACAGCTATCCCCTTTTCACCGCCGTGCACCGGATTTGCATTGGCGAGATCAAGGCCTCCGACATGCTGAAGCACATCTGAGAGGCACACCCTAAGCCCTGTCATCCGGTGGGCGGTGTGAGCTACGAGAGAAGGACATGCCCGTCCAAGCGTGCCCTCCTCACTCGCCCATCTGTTCCTTCTTGCGCCCCCCTGTGCTGACTTGCGTGCGTGTGTGTATGTGTCTGTGTGCCCATGCCGGCGCACTCGGACGCACCTGCACACACGCGCACACACAAATGCCATAAAGATATCCCCCTGTCCTTGAGCCGCCCGTGCGCGCGCACACGCACGCCCGGTGCATGGTGAGCAGCATCATACCTACCCGCGGTTGCCGCGTCCTCCTCTTCTATCCTTCTCTCCCTCTGCCTGTTCCAGCACCAGACAGCCGGGTAATGTGCATGTGCATGTGTATACGGCACCCCCGCCCATATTTGTGTTTCACACGCACACGCCCACGCACGCGCACACACAAATCACCGTTCCTCTGACAACCTCCGCCGCGAGGGCAAGGGAGATGCGGAACCCCCTCTCCCCCTCCACCCGATGATAATATATAGAGCATAATATCCCTTCTTCTCCTGTCTCGCATGTGTGCTCATCAGCTGCCGATACACGGACACACACAAGCACACCAGCACACAATCATACAAGCACACAATCATACAAGCACACAAGCACACAATCATACAAGCACGCAAGCACACACGCCCCCGCACGATCGCATCTGTGTACGAGGGGAAGACCGCAAGGATGGGCAAAAGAAATATATGACGCCTGCGTGATTCGAACACGCGCGTGCAGAGCACACCAACTTAGCAGGCTGGCTCCTTAACCACTCGGACAAAGCGCCACTTGATGGGAGCAGGACCCCGATGTCATCTATTTATACATTTTCCGGATATCCCACACTTGGGGAACCTCCTCCGCCCCCTCCGCTCGGCTCTCTCCCCTCCTGGGAGAAGGATCGGCCTATGCGCGCGTGTGTGTGTGTGTGTGTGTGTGTGCGGATACATCTCAACAGAAGGAGGAAAAAGAACTGGCACACGTAAAAAGGAAAAAATAAAAAAAAAACAAGATACCCCCCCTCTCGGATAAACACGCTCATCATATCAGCGTACATATGTGTTATGCACCCCGGAGAGGGCACCCAACAAGGTCTGTTCTTCTCTCTCGCGTATATGCGCGGCTCTCTCCTCCGCCTGTGTGTGCCGGCGCGCAGGGCACATCATGCCCCGAGGTGGGCCTCAAGCGAGCAAAATGATATTTGACGCCTGCGTGATTCGAACACGCGCGTGCAGAGCACACCAACTTAGCAGGCTGGCTCCTTAACCACTCGGACAAAGCGCCACTTGATACCTCCGCACCCTCGTCTAGCCTATATGTGCATGTTCGGTTTTAGGTGCCTTCGCAGCGGCACTTCTAGTTCACTTCAAACACACGAAGGAGAGCACAACACAGGAGGAATGATGGCGGGAGAATGAATGCCGGCCCCGAAGATGGTGTCGTCGGTAGCACACTCGGCGAGGCGCGTACAGCCACAGCCGTGGATACGGGCCTCCCCCCCCCCCCCCCC